CAGCAAGTCTTATGGCTTGACTGGTGTGCAGATTTTTGTTTAACATTGTATTAACTATCCACAGACTTCAGGTGGAAGGGGTTTTCAATCACAATTTTTCCCCACCATAACCTATTTGGATTTATATATATATATAATTTCATTCTAAGTATATTTTGATATTTTTAAATTTTTTTGCTTTAATTATTATTTATTGGTGATATATATATATATATATATATATATATATATATATATATATATACACAATATATATTTATTATATATATATATATATATATATATATATATAACCAATAAATAATAATTAAAGCAAAAAAAATGTAAAAATATCAAAATATACTTAGAATGAAATTATATATTTACAGTCCCCCTAGTGGAGAAGAAGACTGATCACCGGCAGGGGAGTGGCAGCAATCAGGTTAGTAATTTAGGATCACCTCCTGAGGGCGGTATTTATTTATATATTTTTATTTATTTACTTTTTAATTTTAAATTTGATTCTTACTGAGTGCCTCAAGCCCCTCGAGGCACTCAGTACACAGGCAGAGCATCAGAAACCTGCCTGATGGCTTCCGATGCTCTGCCTCACTGCCGGTGCTCAAATGTGAGTAACATTTCTTCCAGTGGACCAATACACTCTTCAGGTGATCAGGATCACTATGGTATATATTGAAAAACATTTGCAAGAAACTGTGCTTGGAAAATTGGTGCATTTGTAGATGTATCACCTGATTTATTTTCTGTTTTGATTTCAATAGCGGCACTTTATAAAGTTTATATATTATAATTTCTCAGTGACTTATAACACCGTGAGTGTTGGCTTATTGTGTTAAATAATGTTTTCTTGTTCCCCGCTGCTGGGTAAACATGTAGGAAAGCATTTCCACTACTTAATAGACTTGTGTACAAATGCTGATATCAACAAATCAAATGCCTTTTAATCAGCACCAGAGCAAATCGATCCCTCCAGTATTTACCTGTGCTGTCTTATTTATTGAATAAGAGTGATCACCTGACACTCATATCCAATGAGTTAATCCTACACTTTACAATTTAGATATTTGGAGCTAAGAGAAGCTCCTTGAGGGGAGTCATTTGGAGGCCATTAAACCACAGGTACATTGTCAAACCATTCTCAAACTGGTTGTCTACTTATTCTGGGAGACTGCTAGGGCAGTCCTGGCACTATAACTTCTACAGTGGGCTGTAGTGCTTGGAGTGCTCTTTTAAATTCTCACTTTCACCTTTTTGACTTGATTATAACATGTATCACAGCCAGGAATATTCCAAGTGAGAATTTAAAATAAGGGAACTATATTCATTCCTGCATTCATATACATCTCAACTTCACAGACTAACATGCAATTAATGTATTTCATTGCAGAAAGAAATAAAGTGTATATTCCTAACTTTCTTTTTAATTCTATAAATGAGAGACCTGTACACATGCTGTAATTGTGACAGTAACTCACTAGGCCAAACCTGACATGTTTCTAATTACCTGCTAAAATTGTCGCTGTCTCCTAAAGTGCAAATTAGCACACAAAATGACAAGAATAATGAATGAGTAACTCTGATGTAATGCAACAATTAGACCTTAAAGACACTGTCTAATATGGTAATTTTGAACACTCACTCCCTGTTATTAAGTGGCTGATAATTATTTAATTATCTATCTGCCAGAATGATTTGCTTCATTTATTCAGTCCTCGATGTGGACCAAAAGTTGTAAGGTTTTAGGTCACAGTGAACTGTTAGGAGATTAGCTGATGTTTGTTTGTGGGTTTTTTAATCTTAGTTTCACTTTCTAATTATTCAGTACGGCAAATCTACAAAATATCTAGATACGTGTGATATTGTTAAAGCAACTAAATAAAAATAGATCACTTTTAACAGATAATGCATTTTTTTTCCTTAATCATGTGGAAAGATGCCAAATGTAAAGTCAAAGTTGTAAAGTAAATATATGGTAAAAAGAATGTAACAGAAATTACAGTGCTTTAATGTGGGAAACCAAAGAGGTCTATTCACTTAAACATAAATTGACAAGGTATTTGCAAATGTTAAAACAACAAAAAAAAAACATACACATTGGAAAAATTAACCACATCTTTTTTGTCTGTAATGCTCAATTCTACAATTAATTACCCTCCTCCCCCCCATAATTAAGTCAATGAATAAACTTATAAGACTTGAGAGCCTGTGATTTAGCATGTACAATAAAATTACTGGTTGTTGCTATTATGTTTTTTTTGCTTTTATATAGTAATTTTATCAGTTGTTGAATGTTCCTTTAAATATATATGAAAGTGGAACTCACGCAATAGTTATTTTGGACAAAAAACTGGGGTCCTGCATCTGTTACCAAACTGCACAGTAACCACTATATAAGCATACAGTTATCATAGTGCCAATTAAAGGACAAGAATATCCCATGTAAGCATTATGATAACTACATGCTAATATAATGGTTAGTTAGATGCAGAACCCCAGCTTTTTAAGATGCATAAGTTACAACAAACATATTATTTATATAATAAGTGTTTTTATGTTCAATAGTTAATGTTAAAAATTGGATGTTCCCAAAGTGCTGTATCAAAGCACATTAATAGAAAGTTATGTGGAAGAAAAAGGTGCACAAGCAGCAGGGATGACCGCAGCCTGGAGAGGATTGTCAGGTAAAGGCCATTCAAAAGTGTTGGGGACTTTCACAAGGAGTGGACTGAGGCTGGAGTCAGTGCATCAAGAGCCACCACACACAGACGGATCCTGGACATGGGCTTCAGATGTTGTATTCCTCTTGTCAAGCCGCTCCTGAACAACAAACAATGTCAGAAGCGTCTTACCTGGGCTAAAGAAAAACAGACCTGGTCTGTTGCTCAGTGGTTCAAAGTCCTCTTTTCTGATGAGAGCAACTTTTGCATCTCATTTGGAAACCAAGGACCCACAGTCTGGAGGAAGAATGGAGAGGCACACACAGCAGGATGCTTGAAGTCCAGTGTGACGTGTCCACAGTCTGTGTTGATTTGGGGAGCCATGTCATCTGCTGGTGTTGGTCCACTGTGCTTCATTAAGTCCAGGGTCAACGCAGCAGTCTACCAGGAGATTTTGGAGCACTTCATGCTTCCTTCCAAAGAAGAGCTTTATGGGGATGCTGACTTCATTTTCCAGCAGGACTTGGCACCTGCCCACAGGGCCGCCATCAGGGCATGACAACCGCAACGTCATCTTCCGGCTCCGGCATCAGTACGCGGCGCGCGAGGGAGCTGAAGAGGAAGCACACAGAGAGTGCTCCCTCGCGCGCCCACCGGGTGTCAGGGAGAAAATTTGAGTGAGTGGGGGTGGTGGGGGAGAGGGAGGGAAGAAAATTCAGTGGGGGGAGGA